CAAACTTATGAACCATACTTCATATTTTGATCAAATGTCACATATTACATTTTTCTTTTTCGAGATCCACACACAGATATACGTGCATAAATCTCAAAAAGGGGAGCATTTGTTGACGGAGAAATTTCAACTAATCACTAAATGCCATGTCACAATTTTAAATCATATTTAAGACCAATCATAAAATTACACGTGTCCTAATTAATTTAAATTGTGTCCTAATTCAATGGATGAAATAATGCCACGTGTCTCTCCTATGGTCGTCCGATGAAATCAATTAATTGGACCAAACCCATAAGGAGATTGGACTCAAGCCCATGGCCCATATGTGACCCACGAAGTCTCTATAAATAGAGGGAGTCACATCCCATTGAGGGGAGGGAGAGTGGAGGCATTCAGAGGATTGAGAAGAATTGCAGACTCAGAGTTTTCAGCATCCGGTGTCAAGCGAAGAATCTAGAGCCTAACTTGAAGACTTGAAGATTGAATTGTCACTCCGCCAAGCAACCGATTGAAGAATTCCTCTCAAGACTTGAAGAYCTCACAAGCTGCACTTCAAGTAAAGGAACTCTTCACAAGCTACAAGYYGAAGACTTCRCAAGCCGCAARCTGAAGAATTCGCAAGCCGAAGATTTCATCAAACATCCAGTTTCACAGCCGAAGATCGTAAAGATTCTTCAATACGCTCGAGAYTGAAAGTGACAACCTCCTTGATTCGAGAACAAGTTCATTAACCCTCGAAGCGAGCTTACGTCAGAGAGAATTAATCAGAGGATCATACAGTAGAGTTGTAACACTTATACATAAATACAAATACAAGTTCATTAAGTCGAGTTTCCCTTATTGAATTTCTCGTCGAACAGTCATGATCGATACAATTGACAGACAATGTCTCTCAAATCTCTCTAGATGCGTCAACAAAGACAACTTCGTTTCTAAGCGCTATAGCAATACAAATTAATCTAGGAATACAAGAATGAAAAACCTCACCAATAAACTCAATAACAGGTTGTCGATGACGCACTACAACGCGGGATCTCGATCTCCTCTTTGCTGCCAACACACTTTTCCACCTCTATATCTTTATTTTGTTCCACTTACAGAATAACCTAAACGAAAAAAAGGAATTTTATATTATTGTCGTAGCATTGAGACGCTGTCCGTAGCGTCTCAACTTTACGAGCAAGACAGCATCAATGAGCAACGTGCGCGCCTCCGCCTTTTATCAATTCTGGGACAGTGTTAAAATGCCCCGCAATGTCTCAATGTTGTGCCCTCAGGTCTATATACTCACCCTTAACTATCCCAATATTTTGGCTCCACGAATCCGAACAGTTTTTTCCTCCACTGGAGTGATTTTGAGGTGATTGATGTTAAAGTAATTCCTCGTCAATCTATTTAAACTTAGTTTTTCAAAAATCAACTTTGAAGTAATTTTATCAAAGCATCATCATAAACAAATTTAATTATTTGAAAAGGAATTTCCAGTTTGTCCCTTTCGTCTCTCTCTCTCTCTCTCCAGGGGATGCATGTGGATGTGGAGGGAAAAAAACGGGAATAAATGGTCCCTCAATGAGCCTAAAGAGTGGTTACTATTTAAAAATAATAAAACTGGACACCAATAATGTCTCTCCCAAGAATCCAAATCCCGCATAAATTCAAACAACGAAACTTCTCAGAAACTACAATCCAATCCACCAAAATTATCATATTCCCTCTGTCTCTCTCGATTGCGTACTCTCTTTTTCTCTCAAATCCCACGAAACTTCCTCGAAACTTTCATGTTAATACCAAAATTTTACACCAATCAAAAGAATAAAAATTATTCCTATAGATAATCATAATCGGGCGTGTTAAGGATCCTACATTGAAATAAAAATAGACCTTATATAAGATATATTGATTACTACTCTTATTATCAATTAATTTTGAGACATAACTTCGTGCTCGAATGAACATTCGAAATATGATGTCATCATGGTATATTGGAAGTAAATTATAAAAATATTTTAACGAGAAGCAGTTATGGGTGGTTTGATTCAATAATTTTTCCAAAATCAAAAAAGAAATAAAAAGAAAATTTCGATGTTTATTCCAAGCCTTTTGGGCCGTACACGTGTGGAATCCAATGTGATCAACGTGGTTCACTCAAGGGCAGTGGAGTACACACCACACCAACCGTTGGATATCTTAGACAGGTAAGATTTGGATGATTTTGAGCACAGAAATGACATCACGAATTGCCATTTCAACCGAACTAAAAAAAGATAAGCATTTCTTCTTATATATATGTGTATATGTATGTACGTATACTTGCCTCTTCTATTTTTGTTTATCTTTGTGTTTGATCTTCAGCAATGGATGGAAATAACGAGAGGGGAGTGCAGAGGTCAAGGGTAGGTGATTGTGATGATGGGTACAAAGACTTGTTGCCGGTGATGGCCGAGAAGTTGGACATGGACGTGTTCGTGGGGGAGCTGTGCCGTGGGTTTCGACTTCTGGCCGACGTCGAGAAAGGGTTGATAACGTCGGAGAGTCTGAGGAGGAACTCGGCGCTATTGGGGATGGAGGGGATGAGCTCTGAAGAGGCAGCATCGATGTTGAGGGAAGGAGATCTCGATGGGGATGGAGCGCTTAATCAAATGGAATTCTGCATCTTGATGGTCAGACTTAGCCCCGGAATGATGGACGATGCGGAAGCTTGGCTCCACAAGGCCATCAACCAACGCCTGATTATATAAAGAATAATACTTAGGTGCTAATCGATCAATACTCATGTATCATTGACTACAATTTAAAAGAAATTTCAAATTTTGAGTGATTGATCAGGCAGCCGATATAAGTGTTGATTTTAACACCTAAGTATATTGTTCTTGAGTAATCCTTCTTATTAATTATAATTATGAGTAATACTTAGATATTGATGGTTGAGTATAAGTATTGTTCCTACTCACTGTTACTAGAAAGTTAACAACTATTTATTTTGTTAAAAAAATTAATATATTTATTCGTTATTCTATTGTAAAAAACATAATGGTGGTCTAACAAGAGATAGGTATCTAGGTATTATTATTCTTATATTATTTTTTGTGTTTGTTTATTTAACCGTAATTAATAACTCAGGATAATAACAGTACTCTTGTCCTTTGTCCTTCAATATTGTCGATCTGAAGGTCTATCTCATAACACAGTGGTTTGTCTTTTATTTTGTATATTTAAGAATCGATTAGATAATGTCAAAAGACAAGGAAAGGCTCATTGAAAATAAAGTGTTTTTCTCGGTTTAGTGTTTAATTGTTTAAAATTCTAAACTTTACCTAATGCATTAAAAGTTCTCATTTAGGTCTTTATTCGAAGTTAAAACTTTTGTTCATCTAAAGTTAATAGGTCACTAATACCGTAATCATCTCCTTTTCCATTTTGATTTTTGGTTTTTAATTTTTTTTTTAAAAAGGTTTGTTTAATAATCTGTTTCCAGTTTTCTAAAAATATTTTTAAAACTCTTACCTCTGTTTGGCATCAAGAAAGTTGATGAAGTCATTTTAAATTCTGTGATTTGAAATCTGATAAATGATTTTAAATTCTTTATCTTATTTGAAACAACAATGATTTGAAAATAATTAAATTAAATTTATTTGTTTGGATGTTCACTGTAAATGAAAAGAAAATAAAAATGTTACCGATTTAGGCTTTTTTAGGCTAAATTTATGAATTAAAAATTAAAATATGAGGAGGTTAAATAGATAATTTACTTTGAAAGTGTATCAAATCGTGCAAAATCCGACCATTTTGATCTATAAAATTTTTTAAGTAAAATTAAGATTTGAAATCCGATAAGATTTCAAATTAAATCATGCGCTACCAAACAGTGGAATTCATTTGAAATTCTTCATGATTTTGAATTCCTTCAAAATTCGAGGTACCAAACAGAGCATTAGTAAATTTCAAAAACCAAAGAGTAGTTTTCAAAAATAAATTTCTGGTTTTCAAAACCTCACTTTTTTCCGGTCTAAAGCTCAACTTTTTATTTTATTTGACGTATTTATCTCTAACAAACTTCTTTCTCATTCTAGAACTTTTCCCACCCAAAGTTTTGTCTCTAAAAAATTTATCTTTCTTTTTCTAAAAGTTTTATCTCTTAAATATTTACTATTGTTGAGGGTAAAACAGATCAGGATGCATGTCCACCCGCATAGAGACGTGGGACCAAATTATGTGGCAGAAGCAGGAGACGTGCGGGGACAGTACGGGTAGCACGCCTTCTAGTAGCAGGCGACGAGCGTACACCTGCGGCAGGCCCCGTACCGTGTGGCGCTTCCCTGCCACCTCCAATCGTCGTCCTTCCTGGTCGACCATTCGAGCCTATATAAGTAAAGACCCTCACCACCATCAAGTAACTGAAAAATCTGTCAATAATACTAAGGTGTATTTTCCTATTTCCTACTCTGATTACTAATTTGATTGTCAGAGTGTTTTAGGTAGGACACCGTACCGGCATCGAGTTTTTGGTTGCAGGTCATTTCGTCTGCCGGCGAAGCTACTCGTCCGCAGACACGTGGCCTTCCGCCAAAAATCACCATCAACAATTTGCACCATCTATGGGAACAACGTTTTCAGGTCAAAACGAAAACTAGTTCTCTATATTAAGACATCACTAGGATGACTTATGATAAGAAATCGTCGTATGAAAAATTTCGTCAACAACGAGCATCGATACAACAAACCAGTTGACAACTCAGCTCGCATCGCAGAAGGTGAGGGTAGCACGTGACGCTCTCAACCCCCTCCCTCTCATCGGCCACCTTGGCAAGTGAAAGGTGGGGCATCGCAAGGGCTCGGGGTTACGGAGCAAAATGCGGGCCATCAATGCACACGTGGCCTCCCAGATGAGGAGGTAAATCGAGGTCATCCTAGCCGATCTGATGTGATCATATTTGACCCAACACTCCAAAATACCACCTACACCAACAATAAAGAGAAGCTTGAGGAAAGACCCGCCAAACGAAGGAGACTTCATTGGATACACCAACAAATTTTGACCATATTGAAGGCCAATGAAGAACCTACTAGGGTTAAGAGGAAGCATGGAGAG